CAAGCGGGTCTCGACCTGGGTTTCGAGGCGGGGTCGCCCTCGAACGCGGGTTCCCCAGGGGGGGACATCGGCCTCTCTCAACTCCTCAACGTCCCGGACTTCGCGCCCGAAACCCCTCACGCGGGCGGGGAGGACACGGCCATGGAATTCAACCCCGACGAGACCAAGGACGATACGAACGCGTCCTGAACGTGGACGCCCCGCCTGCGCACCGGCGCGGTCGTCCAGGAGGGCGTATGTAGCGCCCGCGTCGCGCGCTACTTCTCTTCTCTCCCTTCGTACCTGATCGACTCCGTGCTTCGGGATTGTCTCTCCTCGATCTCTCAGCTTCTCTTATCTCACTCGTATCTAGCCCGAGTCTTCCCGAACCTTAGAGCTGTTATAGCGCCCATGAACCGTATATAAACCCAGATCTGTATGTACAAACTCCAGCGTTCAATCGAGATACTCATACCCTGTCTATCCCTCGAGCGAACCTCTCTCCCTCTCGTGACGCGCCACCTACCCCTTCGGGCCAGCGAGCGCGTCAATGCGCGTCTCTTTGCCGGCTGCGCGTTTCGAACAAGCGCCGACATGACAGTACTCTCTCCATCACTAGTCCCCTTAAACTTACTGCGGGGACCCGGGAAAAGCAAAAAGCCTCTATCCCAGGCTGGATAACGAGAATCAAGTTGCATCGGGGTTGAAAAATGTACAAGGTGGGACAAAGTCACTATGGAATTTGTTGGTATTCAGCCGATCTCAAAAGCGCATGACAGGTACTGTAGCGATCGGCTCTTGACCCTCTGACATTTGTATGTTCACGATCCAATCTGAGCATATGTACAAGTGAATATTTCTATCGAGAATTATATACGCACATCCAGGGCAAAACAAGAACGAGAATCCAAGGTGAGACAAGGAGCTAAGCGCGAGCGCTGACCTCAACGAGCTCGGCAGCTGCGGTGGATCTCGGACGGATGATGCATTCGAAGGGCTTCACTCGACTAAACAAGCAGGCGAGCATGATTCAGTTAGAGGACACATTCCAACGACAGATGAGGGAACTCACGGAGCTGCGCCTCCCGTGAAGCTGACTTCTGGGAGTGCCTTGGGATCGGCCGGCGAGATATCGAAGACCGACAAGAACCGTGCAGCCAGAAGCCAGATAGAGTCTTCGGAAAAGACTCGCCCGGGACAGACACTAAGGAGGGCCTGTGAGTGTCATCTTGGCGGGAACGCAACGCTCAGGTAAACACGCACCGCCTCCCGAAGCCGAATGTAAAGCGGCTAGGGTCGTTTGCGCTGCAATCGAAAGCCCCATCTCGGATGAACCGCTCGGGCATGAACCTCTCTGGTTCGGGGTACATCTCGGGGTTGTGAAGGAGACCCCTACAACACGGGTGATAGTACAGTTAACAGCGCGTCGCGGTACAGGGAAATAAAGCGTACCAGACGTTCCCCATCACAACGGTGCCTTTAGGGAGATAGAATCCGTTATACACGTCGTCCTCCTGGAGCAGATGTGGAACTCCGGTCGGAGCAGGTGGGTGCCAGCGCAGGACCTCTTTCATGATCGCACTGATGTATGGAAGCCTGTCCCGATCTGTGAAATCCGGAAGCCTATCGTTGCCAACTACTCTGTCTAATTCTTCCTGAGCACGGTTCCGAACGTCGGGGTAGAGAACCATCGCGAGGAAGAAGACATCAGCACTGATGACCGACGTCTCATATCCCGCTGTGGTTGACTTAGCATTTATGACACGATAAGGGAGGGCGTGGCAAGACTGACCTCCATACGCGACTGCCGCGGTGTCACAGATGGCTTGCTCGTCTACGTGGCCTTCCTGTAGAAAAGATGTGACATAAGAAGGCCTGCCAATACCTTTGTTCTTTTTACACACAAAAACTAATTAGCATGGCCTCGTGAAAATGCAAGGATGGAGAGACATACGAAGGCTTCCTTGGCCATCATGAACGGCTTGGTCCTCAGCTCCTCTGCGCTTCTACGCCATTGACGCACGCCAGGGATGGCTTTGGAGACTAGACCAAGCGTATTGATGAAAACAGGCCAGATTGAGGTTGACTGGACTGCGTTTTACGTCAATAAAAGGATAAGCAGGATGTGGCACGACATTGGAGCCCACGTACTCATCCATAATGGATTCACTAGCCACATAGCTGGGCTGAGCGCCAACGACACCGCCCCCATGTATTCATCCGCAGTGCGAATGAGTGGGTCTTGACGGCTTTCGATTGGTATGCCGTACGTCGCACCCATGATAGTCTGCCCTTGACGGCTAGAAGAACGCAAGATTAAACCAGAACACAATTGAATACGCAACAGGTAGACAAGATCTCTCACAGTCGTATGTGATTCGCCCACTCATTCGGACTGTTGAGGACATGTTGCAAGAACACAACGGACGAGCGACGGTGCTCATCGTAGAAAGAGACAAGAGATGACGCCACTGAGTACTTTGTGGAGAAGATGCGGCGGAGAGTGCGCCATTTCTGACCATAGGTCATCATTGGGATGTCCCAGCCGCTCCCCATGCTATCCCATATGACAACTGCAATGAGCACATGGGAGAACCCGAGGTCATGGAAGGCGACACTCACAGATCCATGAGAGGAAAATGTGGACGATCCGAGTAGATGGCATGGCGACCTTCGAAAAGATCATTGCATGCTTGAACAGAGTTTAGTAGGACGACAGGCCGGCCGAGAACTTGCAGATACACAACTTCGCCTGAGTTGCTTCAGTGCCAGGCATCTCTGAAGGGACATATGAAGTACACACCATACTGCCTCGCCCATTTGTAGAAAACATGCCACGGCTCAACAGGAGGTATGTCGAAGAGGTTGCCCAGGATAGGTAAACCAGGAGGGCCGGGAGGTAACTTATTACTGCCCATGCGCTTGCGGAAAGCGAGCCTTGCGGCAATGATGCCCGCGATCGTGACCAAGACCGCAAAGGAGAGAACAGACGTCGAAGTTAGCAAAGACATCTTGAATGATAAAGAGTAAGGGGGACTGCTATAGGCAAGCAGAAGACTGGGTTCGCGGTTGCCGGAGCGGTATATATATACCTGACCATTGTGCCAGTGAGTGACACTTGTTCGCTCACTTAGCTCCAACGGGTACGTGGGTTATGTGATTACCAAGAGTGTGTCATTCCATGACCCGATAGGGAAGCGATATGGTGGTGGCAAGTGCCCTCCCATCGCCCTTCTATCCGAACAAGCCGATTAGTAGGGTAAGCAGGATTTCTCGAGCGAAGATTGAGAGGTATGAATCGTAATTGAACCAAGGTTGTCGAACGATGCGGGGACTGTGCGGCTTATGGTGGGTGTGTCTACAACGTTCTGTCAAGGATTAGCTTTGAACGTGAGTAACAGACTCTGGAAACCCGCAGCCTGAGCCCTAAGCCACCGTTGCAGTCAGCAGTTCTGCACCTTTAAGGTGGCGGGAGTTAAGAGTGCTATATCGGGCAGCAAGTAAGCCGCCGCGCGTACTGGCCCATGCCACGTGTGCATTTGGGTGGCTTCTGATCAACCAGTTCATCAATCGCCTGTACATGTGGCACCCCAAACTGTGCACTGTGAGTGGAGCTATCTCTTTGCAGTCACGCAGGGATCATGTCAAAACCTGTCCCGTGCTGTTGCGCCTCGAACACCTGTGGCCTACTCGTCCTAGTCTGCACTCTCTACTAGTCTTCATGGATCTCAGGTCGATGATATAGCAGCAGGTATTGCAATACTACTACTCGGATGATTACAGCCTCAGAGGACTCGACAACGTACGCCTGCGGCATTATGAAAGTTCCTAAGCCACTTAAGAGCCCTAGATAACATCCGCAGCCCGAGCGCCCGACTCACACGATGGATGACCGCCGCTGTCCACTCTCCGTGAGATGACTATTGAATCGAGACCTTGCGGGACCGAATGAGCAAATGCTGAGTGCAAAACTCAGTTACACCTTGCCAATGAAACCAACAATCGCGAACCCGCCCTTCCTTCCAGGGTGACCACGTTTCTCGAGGCGTGCTGAAGGACTATTATATAGATTGATCTGTTCCTGCCTCAGATCATTCAAGTTGATCTGGCATGCTCAATCATCCCAAGATACTGCGAATACAAACCCATCAAGTGCTATCTTTGTGGCCGAATTCAAGATGATCGCAGGCAACAGCAACACGATCGCCAGTAAATCCTGTTAAGGAAGCCGAAGTGCGAATACACCTTCCTAGGGCCTGTTGCCATGCTATATCACAGTGAGCTTCGTTTTTCTCGACGCTTATTCAACTAAGCAGATGATGAGGTCTCAGGCAAATGGGCCCAAATACAACATCGAACAGGTTCTTTCGCCAGGCGAAATGCTCAAGGTTCTGTTTGAGGCGAGGTCAGGCCGACCGGCCAAAATCTTCCTTCTGGAAGGATGTACGGCTGATCTCTGGATGCTTCGGAGGCCAAAGGTAAGTCGTACGATGTTACATTTCTCCACCTTGGGCCCTCGTCCGTCATACATCCCAATCTCAGTCATTCTGACGGGCCTCTCACTGGAACCATGGCACGACATCTCACAATTGTGCTAGCTCCTTGCTGACATCCAGTCTCGTCACAATCACGGCTTATACCCCCTCATAACCAGACTCTGGAGTGACTGCTCGTCCCCATCATGACAATCCTCCCCGCCGCCACGGTCACAAGCACGATGCAATGCAGCCATTGAGCGCTGCATCGATGATGCGCAGCCTTCAAGTTAGCCTTCTGTCGACTTAGAGCCGCCACCGGTCTTGTGAATGGAAGGTGTCTCACATAAGCTCTAGGCCACGCTCCACGAGTACGTTAGGAACCTTATAACAAGTGTACCTTCCCGAGAGCATGGAATCAGCCCACACGACGTTTTTGTCTACACAACGCAGCTCACTTCCTTGCGGGATGAGCCGAAAATACGAATTGATCCCGCCCTTCGCGACTAGTAGCGCTAGATCGGATGGAGACACTACCCTCGTTGTAGTCTCTACTGCCACCTCGGATTGTGCGGGACGATAGAGCTGGAGAGGACGCCCATCAGTATACATCTCACTCTATGTTGGGCACTGACCTATTGTCAGCGGCGTTATGGTGCCATTGTTGTTTCACAAATATCACCGCTTCCTCCATTCATTGTCCTGTTTTCTTTGCGATCTGAGTGGATTTATCGCCCGGCGGCATGTATGGTAACCGTCAGGTAAACTTCGGATGATTTATCTGCATTCCTTGAAACGGTAAGCCTATGTAATACTCCATGATAGAGCCCCCGTATCTTCATAATACGGTCGAGAATCGCATCTTGTTGCTCCGAGCCAGGTGCGCCAGTACGTTGACACCTAAAGTGGGTGATATCTCTGAGGTGAGAAGACCGCGTGTGGCTCGTCACGTGTCATTGTAGATGCTGCTGAGTTATGCTGCAAGTCCTCAGATGCTCTCTTCTTTTATCCATTTGAGTACTTACTAGTAATGTGGCAAGGCTTTATATGGAACATGTATTCCCCTCCTCCACATTCACCCGTGATTTCGTCCCCGCTCCTGCTTCTCGAGAGACCATGGATGTCCGTCCATTGTCCTGCAATTAAGTAGGAAAGTCGCCAGACATCAGGAGCGCACAGACCTCTGAACACGAAAGTGCGAAAGTACAGTTGACCCTTGTCCAGTGCTGCCCATGCATTCTGATGTGGTATGACGAGTAGTGAGCGCGGCGCAAGCTACTCAGGCGCGAAGCGAAGCAGGGGTGTGGGTCGATATGATATCGTCTCATCCTGTAAACTTCGCAGAAAGTCTCCCGCTCCTCCATCGTTATGCAAAAATGTTTATTGTGGTACAAACACACCCTATATTTGTCAAGCCAGATGAGGATCTCTCAATCAGGCTTGCAACAACGCAATACTGACCGCCTTTGAAGTTTAGCATAATTTGCGGCGCGTCGCTGCGCCCGAAAAAGACTTCTGCATCGTGCACCCAGTCCAACCACATTCACGCCTGGATGCCGCATGTGAGTGATGGCGTCAGTTCTGGAGACGTGGTAGGTCGGTCCTCATGTCACCTTGGTGCCTGTGAGATGCTAGGAGGAAGGAAACTACTCCGATCGTAAAAAGCTCCTTCGACTAATCAGTTCACTCTACGACCGTCGTCGATACCCTTCCACCCAGTCGCTGCCATGACTTCATATCGCTGATCAGTCAGTTGTGCAAAGAGACGAGATGCACGTTGTCAGAGGAAGAAATCAAGCCTAGGGCATCGTGTCAAGGAAAGAGTTATCTAGCACCCAACCACGATTAGGTTGGAGACGTACTCGTCCGAGTGGTTTATTAGCGGTACCGGTATCGCCTGAAGAATGTTCGAAATCCCCTTTACAGTTGAGGACCACCTACCTAGTGAACCAGCGAGATGTCAGAATGAGCTGGTCGTAGATATGATTACGCATATTTGGTTCACGTCAAATTTGACCTGAACGCATGTCCGATCAGCAAGGAGATTACAGTCCAAGTGGAAACGCTCTTACCGGACATGAGGCGTGTGGGTGATCATCTGCGGATTATGCCCCCTACGCAGACCGCTAAGCAATTGACACCTAGTATGAATGGAAGGCTAGGTAAGTCCCCAAGAAATCTTTCGTGCGTGATCGTGTCCGCTAAGCATCAGCGCTCAATTCATAGTCGCAGATAGAGCATACGCTGCCAAGTGCTGGTCTCAGTCTTACATTTTACCTGGCAGAATGTGACCCCATCCAGGGCTTGCATTCGGTCAAAGGCATAAAGATTTGGAATGTTGCATCCAGGCTCGATATATAGCACATGCACAAATTCAGTCTGATATGGAAGACAGGTCCACCGGGAAGGGGCAGAACTGAGAATCAAAAGCCGGTCTCCGGTATCTGTGTAGAGACCCAAAGGTAAGTACGGAATGAATGATGAAGGGTCTCCTCTTACCACACGTCCCTGGTGCAAGGTCCTCGGTCCGGGAACGCCGAGTCCGGAATGCTTCTCACTTCAGAAACACTGCAAGATGTAGTTCAATAGTGTTGAACTCAGCTCCCGGCTGGCCCAAGAACGGACGGTGTGGTCATTACTCCCGTACACTATGTGACGCTTCGTCCGTGACAAAGGACATGACATGTTATTCTGACGAGGGAAGGTTTGCAAGCGCGATGGGTAGAATAACCAATTTCTCCTTGTCCCACTAAAAGGCCGTCAGCAAAACAGATGCAAAATCTATCAGGAGAACACAAACCACTCCGCTAGTATAGTAGATGTCACTCTCCATGAGAGAGCGCACAGTTTCCAAGCTATCAGCCTCGCAGATGAAGAGAGATCCAACCATCTTCTTCTCAGCATTTGGTGCGATGGACTGCGGAGTGAGCATCGCTCCTCCCAGTTCTATAGCATATCGACCGTGAACAGATAACACCAGAGAGACTTATACAGAAGGACTTACTAACGACACCCTGTTTCGCTTGTTCCGCAGCGTTGTCCAAGTGTGCCTGACGGACGCTTAGACGACGCTGGAAGGCACCGTCGTCAGACATGTCAGGTGCGTAGACGACGAATTTGTGACGGAGTGGCACGTTCTCCGCTTGAGAAGACATCGAGCAAGCGATAAGACGCGGCCGTGCCCTCTCGCTGCTGTTTGGACGTAACCCACGAGGAAACCTGAACGATTGCCGGAGGAACGTAGGCATGTCGCCTGCAGCTGAAGGGGCAAGCTCGCTCGAACGAATCAGATGTGACTTAGACGCCTGGATCATTGCCGAGTGCCGGAGACGAACCGGATCAGTTTCTCAGGGCAGCCTTGCATCATTCGTTCAACCGTTCGGAGCACGAGAACTCATGAGATAAGTATACTCAACATTTCCTCCTGACATGGTCTAGAGTACGGCTAATGAAGGAAAGGACATGTTATATATACGCTGGAACAAAACAACCTATCGGTGGCACTAATCGTGCCCGATATTGTTGCACTCTTGAGGACCTTGTCCGTACGCGTAGCATGTCCTGTTCAACCATCTTCAACGGTTATCAGATGACGATCGGCCATACCGGGCGTTGGGAGCGCAGTTCACTACACAAAGACAACTTTACATTTCGCCTCAAACACGACTACATACTACATGTAGGTTTCCGTAGTTTCAAGTCCTCCGAGCTCGACAGTGGCACTGCAGCAGCCACCGTGGCCACGGCGGCAGAAGGATGTCCTGGGGTATTTGATTTGCCAATGTCCCAAGCATGTCGGGATGTCGCGGACTGCAAGGGCGCGACGTTCAGACTAGCTTAGGACGAACCAGACTGGTTCTACGCAACCCGAAGTCCGAGGCCCTCGAACTCCGAGTCGGACGCTGACCACGCTGAGCTCTGAGCTCACCGCGGCTCAGCGACGCCCGCAACCGGGATATACCAAG